GCATCTGAAGAAGTGAGGTTCTTACCCATGAAAGCTTATGCTCCCAATACTTCTGTTAACCTCAAAGGTGCCACAGGACCCTCTGTTGCTTTTTACAGATTCAGACTAACACAGCTACTCCTCTGATACTTTCTTAAGCTAATCATGCAGGATACAGGCCTGTAAGTTCCTTGCATTCAGACAAACAGAATAATTCAATACAAAAATACAAGCCAAATATAATAAACATCAAATTAATAAATGAAGGCAAAATATAATAAAGCAAGCCAGCAAATTAACCCTATAAAGCAAGCCAGCAGCTTAAACCTATAGGCTACACCCCTTCCTGACAGCTCTAGGGGCTTGTCTACTCTACCTCTGAAGTAGATGTAACTTAAGTTGCTCAGAGGTGTAAAAAAGCGACCCCCCCGAGTGACGCAAGTTACACCAACATAAAGTGGTGTTCACACTGTGCCATATCAGTGGTAGACACTCTTCCGCTGACATTGCTCTCCTGTGGGCATAGTTACTCCACCTCAGCGAGAGGCAGAAGCTTTCTCCCATCAGCATAGCACGTCTTCACTAGATGTGTTACAGTGGCACAGCAGCATCGGTGCAGCTGTGTGGATATAATGCGGTAGTGTAGACTAGCCCCTAGGTGTCTTCAGTGTCTCCAAGGATGGGACCTGATCAATGAGTAAAGATTCAGTAGACATACCAACTAGAAGGGGAATCTGATATTTTCAAAGAAAGCCTAGCAACCTTAATTTAATAGAACTATTGTGCAAGTGCAGTGGAGGAACGACGATTGGAGCAGGAAATGGACTTCTGTTTCCAGTTTCCACACAGTGATTACTGCAAGTTTAAAAAAAAAGTGTTGAAAATACTTGTCATTTTGATAACCAGGCTATCTGCGGTGGGAGCATCTGCCAACCCGACATGCTGTTCCGGGAGGCGTGCTGCCTGCCAGGAGCCTGTGTCTGAGCGATTATGGAAAGATTGCTGAGGCTCACCCATTGCTACCCACGGCTGCTCATCCACCTGAGTACTAATGATACTGCCAGGTCTGTCCCTAAGCAGATCACCAGTGACTACAGGCCTTTGGGAGCAGGTTGTATTCTTGTCCATCCTCCCAGGTGAGGGTAAGGGTCCAGGCAAAGACACACACATCCTGAAGATGAACGCATGGCTGTGTAGCTGGTGTCAAAAGGAGGGTTACGGCTTCCTCGACCATGCAGTGCTGTTCTGGGAAGAAATGGGAAGAGCATCTTTGTGCACTGACTCACCAACCTCGTAAGAGCTTTAAACTAGGTTCAAAGGGGGCAGATGACAAAAGCCCACAAGTAAATATAAAAAAAGGGTGATGTTAATGGAGGGTTAGATGTTGGTGGGACACGGAACATTACAATAAGGTCATAGGAGAGGGAAATCAGTGGGGGAAGCTGCTCAACATCTTGGATGTCCATACACAAATGCAAGGAGTATGGAGAATAAATGGGAAGAACTGGAAGAATTAGTGTACATAAGCTAAATTATGATTTAACTGGCATCACAGAGACTTAGTGGGATAAATCTCAGGACTGGAATATTGGTACAGTAACTCCTCGCTTAACGTTGTAGTTATGTTCCTGAAAAATGTGACTTTAAGCGAAACAATGTTAAGCGAATCCAATTTCCCCATAAGAATTAATGTAAATAGGGGGGGTTAGGTTCCAGGGAAATTTTTTTCACCAGACAGAAAACTATATATTATATAGATGTACACACAGTATACGTTTTAAACAAACAATTTAATACTGTTCACAGCTATGATGATTGTGAAGCTTGGTTGAGGTGGTGAAGTTAGAGGGTGGAAGAGGGAGGGATATTTCCCAGTGTTGACGTCAGTAGGCATCACCCTAGGTAACTCGGGAGGGTAGACGACCACAAGTGTCAATGAAGCCTTCCTGCACTAGGCCTAAGTGAACTAAACTCTATCCTTCCATGTTTAAACTCTAATCGACCTCAAAAGCCAGGTGCAATTGGAATGTGTAAGCAGCCAGCTATCAGTGGTAACCCCCCTTACCGGTACCAGGCGGTAATAATGAGGCCTGCATACCTCTGGCTGAAAGGGGAGATAATAAATCAAAGGAAAGGGACAAGATAGTAATCCAAGAAGTGCTACTAACGAGCTAAATTTATAGCTGCCAAAATAATCTAACTGCTTAAATGTAATTGCTATTTGCTTAGTAACTATTACCAGGGACGGGAGGGGTAGAGAGAAAGGAATGGGGGGGGGGGAAGATGAGGCTTGACTGCAAAAATGTATAAAAGAAGAAAAACTGTTTCTGTTGGTGTGCTTGATCTGAGACTTGCCTGTCTCCTTGCACCACTTTGAGATCTC